GACCCCCCCCCCCCCCCCCCTATTTTTTTGTCACCATTATTCAGTACCTTATGGATGAATCTCGTGACAATGTCCAGGTTATAATTCACCCCAAAAGAAAAGGGGGAAAAAAAGGAAATAAGACTGCATAAAAAAAATTATTAATAAAGTGACTTTTAGAAACTTTAACCCCCAAATTCTTATTACTGGAAAAACATCCTGTCTAAACAAAAATATTTTTTGTTAAATTAAACTCAGCATTAATAAAATTCGGAAAATACTACCATAATGTATACTCACTTGTACCTGAGAAATCTTCTTAAATTTAATTAATATTATAATTTATTTATTTATTTATTGCATTATAGTAAGGAAAATTAGGGTTTTGTCATTTCAGAAGTGTGATTTTGGGGAAAATATGATTAATTGTCTTAAATCAAAATGCAAAAGTTGCAATGGTCAAAATAATACGCTTCAATTTCTTTACGTGATATATAATTTAATGTTTTTATATGATTTTGTGCTAAAAATAAAAATGGCCCAGAGACCTTGACAGTTTTAGTGTGATTCACCAATTTGCAATGGTGACATTTGTTCATGTGAGAAGACGTTAATTCATTGATTATATAATACATGTAAAATAATTCCAGAAACAGTGTTAGTTAAATGTTAAACAGGTTAATGCTAAATGCATGAGCATTTAATGGTGTCCAAAAAAATCCAGTCAAACAAGTTTAGCTGTTTCTGTTCTATTAATAATTAATGATAGCTTAATACATTTGGTGTCTGTATATGCATGTTTACTTACGCATGTTTAGTCTCCACACAGGCACAGGTTTTATATGATTTTGCGGCAGAGCTTGGGAATAATGAGCTGTCGATTCGAGAGGGTGAGACAATCACAATAACCAACCAGGTGAGTTTATTTTACTTTCATAATGTTTCATAACACCTGGCTCTCCATGTCTGTTGTCTCCATGAGTTGTTGCATGTGTATGAATGGATCAAAACCCTCTCTGTAAAGGTGAACCATTCTCTTCTGTTCTCAGAACATTGGTGGAGGATGGATTGAGGCAAAGAACTCCAGAGGAGAAGTCGGATTGGTACCAGAGGACTATATAGAGGTAAGCAATGGATGGATATATACATACATATATATACACATACATACATACATATACTCATATATATATATATATATATATATATATACTGTATGTATATGCACTACTTTTAAAAAGCTTTTGGTGAGAGAGAATTTCTATCAAATAAATGCTGTTCTTTTTAACTTTCTATTCATCAAAGAATCCTGAAAAAATGCAGCTTTGCATCACAGGAATAAGTTACTTTTAAAAAATATATTAAAATAGAAAGCAGTTATTTTAAATGGTAATAATATTTCACAATATTTCGTCATGTGAAACCATCCCTGATGACAAGCAGTTGTTTATGGTGTTATCTCAAAGCCTGAAGCTGATTGGCTAGTCAAGGGACAGACTTTAACCTAGTAGCTATAGTCCGCATGCGCTCGATGGATCTCTGATAACAGATGTGAAACCAGCAGCAATGCTAGATATTTATGAGTCATTGTAAAATGTGTGGCACCGTTAACCACAGAATTCCCTGTGCGCTCTGTAGGCACAAATATTAGTTAGCGCTCTCATTTTTTATTGGTGGGTCATAAAGTAGTTACATGTAGTGTCTTGATATAATTTAGATCTTCTACAAAACAGCAGAAAGTCCACATTAAAGCTCGTTCTGATCAAGAACCGCCCACTTAGACCGAAAGAGACGGGGTGTGGATGTGGGTGACATGTAAACTGGACAACCATAAATAGTTTTGTTTCTGTGCACTCCAAAAAATATTTAGGCCTAAATTATGTATTTGAATTGCATATAAAATCTCCATTCATTTGGATTGTACTGTTATAACATAAACTGATCAATTTGATATGATGCATATTTAATCATACAGAAATGAAACCGAATGAAAATGAGTGACAGTTTGTCAACTGTTTCCATTTTTTGGATTGTATTAAAATAACCATATTTTCAAAATGCATTTATTCAGATTTCTTAATGTCAGCATTAATATTGTGAAAACAATTAAAATTATTTAGTTCAAAGTATGAACATGGTTAAAATATGGCTAGCTATGGAACAAGCATTATTCGGTTGGTTAAAATTAATTAGATTAATTATTTGGTTAAAAAACGAATTCGATTTATTGATGATAAATATATAAATTTTAGTTATTGTGTATTTAAGATGCATTCAGTTTATTAGTACAGAAACATTGCTGGGTTTTTTTTTTACCCGCTTCATTTCCTCCTTTTTTTTTGTTTGTTTATTTCCCTGTAGGTTAAAATTGTATAATCCAAATGGCTGGAAATTTTAGATGCAATTCAAATACATTAATATTAAATTTAGGCCAAAATATTTTTTGAGCATGTACCATTGGAGGGCGCGATTATCTGAAATAGATCATACTACAATAATTGGACATTATGAGAAACAATTTAAATAAACAGATCAATTCCAAGAGGGTCCTCGCCCCGAGGTGCTCGGGCCCTAATAATGGAGCCGCTGTGTCTGTTAAAGGATGTACAGACAACACAATAAAAAAAACTGGTGTTTTTGAGTGCTGTGGTTTGTCATCTGAGGTTAAGACCATTAAGTAGTTGCTTGAGTTGTGGTTTCTTTTGATGATCCAAGCATTTGTCTGAAATGCATCATAAATGAAGTGGGCACTGATGGTGAAGTTGCGTGACTGTGTATTAGCACTCTGCTTTATGTTTGATGAATAATGTTTTGTGCTAGTTTTCGAACTGTCTATTGAAAACCCTTCCAGGTCTCAGCTGGGCCTCTGCTATTGAGAAAATCAGTGGTTTGAAGGTAACCCTTCCTTTTCAGCGCTTTATGATCATGTCACGTCTTTCCCCTAAGGTGGATGTAGCTCAGCCAGAAACTCCAGTCACCCCAGTTACCCCAGGATTTTCCTGAACATTCATTAATCTTAGATATTCCAATATTTAATAACATGTTGTTAAAATCTAAAGTTGCAACGGTGTTATTTAATGAGCTAACATGAACTAAGACTTGTATTTTTTTAACAACGATTAATAACTTCTGTAGCAAATGTAGCTATTGCTCATTGTGAATTTTAATGCATTAACTAAGGTTAACTAATGAGGTCTTATTGTAAAGTGATACCTTTTATAGTCTTTATAGTTATTTTGCACTTTAATCTGTGTAAAGCTTTTAACTTTATAATTTTTTCTGTATTGCTTTATTGCATTTAAATGTTCAGTTATTTTTGTTATAAGAAAAAAAGTTATTAAACCTGTTATACTGTATTATGACAGCACTTTTTTAAAAACAAAATTTCAATATCGTGATAATACCATATACCGTGATAAAAGCATTAGCAATTAATCGCAACATGAAAATTTGATACCGGTATATCCCTAGTTGAGGTTGTGGTTAGGACCGTTGTTTAGTCTAGTATAATAGAATATCAATATTATTTGTAAATGGTTCAATTGCATTGCTTGGTCTGAGACCATTAGTGAAAATGCTCCTATTTGATGCTTTTTGTTTCTTACCAATTGTAAAATTGTTGTTGTTTTTCTTTCTTTCAGACAAGTAATGGTAATAACCCATGGACAGTATTTGACAATAATGCATCTGGGGGGTTTTCTAATAACTGGGCAGCTCAGCCAGAGGGCACAGAGACGGGGAAAACCAGCAGCAATGCATGGCCTTCTGGAGGACACGGGCATCCGCAGGCCTACCAGGGTCCAGGTAACAACTCAAATAAACCCATGTTGGATTATTCAGTCTAAACCAGTGGTTCTCAAACTTCTTGAATTCAAAGACACGCCATTGTCCACAACAATATTCGAAGGCCCCCTAGCAGTATTCTTGTTTTCAGATGGGTTTTAATCTTTGGAACCTCCTAGTTTTTGTAAATTACAATAAAAATAAAAATAATTTAATTTCATAAATATTAGAAGCTGAACGTTCTTCAGGGATCCCACTCTTTTTAACCTGTCAATTTCCATAACTCTTCCTGTCAATAACGATTTAGTGGGTAAGAATCAAGGATAAGGAGTTTTAAAAATATTCACAATTTTTACCAAATAAAACATTTTAGATTGTAGCACAACTGGTAAAATGTATATTCATTATATAAATGCCCATGGTGTTCAAAGATTTAAATCATTTTCCATATCTAAAATCCAGTGGTGTATAAAGTACCTGAAAACCATACTCAAGTAAAAGTACAGATATCTTACCAGAAAATAACTTTGGTAGAAGTTGAAGTCACAGTTTAGAATATTACTAGAGTGAAAGTCTTAAAGTATGTGATATTTATTGTACTTGAGTATGAAAAGTATTTTTTAAATCTTAAACCTACTTAAGTATTGAAAGTAAAAGTACAAGTAAATGCAAAATGGAAAATAAGCAAATAAATATATATAAAACATTTTCATACACGGCTTGAGTAGCTAGACTGTGTTCAGTTTTAACTCTTTTTCCATTTTGTATTTTTGGGTAAGAAAACAAAGCACTTCATCCGGTACTTAGTGTCTTTCATTCCAACATAAGAAAACATTTCTGGAATCTGCATCTGAAATAGCATTTTGATGTATTTACACAGTTTATGTATCTCATAGGAGACATGGATGCATTTAAACTGCAGTTACAGATGCATAAATAGGCCTAATGTTTTGTTTTTAAAACCTAAAACGTTGAATACTGATATTTGCAATAATTTAAAACATGAAAAAAATAGTCAAAATGTGAAATTAAATCCGCCAGTAGGTGTCAGCAAGTGACTGTTAATGAGTGAGTCATTGAGATTCAACCGATTCATTCAAACTACTGATTTATTCAGAAACAAAGTATTTGACTGTGTTAATGAGTGAATCGCTGAATCATTTATTCAACCAATTCGTTCAAAAAGCTGATTCATTCGATAAGTAAACACCGTCCTTTGCTCAGAGACGTAAAACAGTGCTGTGATCTTTGTTTGGAACTATATTCGTTTGCAAAATTAAGCAAAAACGAGCAATATTATGTCTAAAATGTAAGTCACTTATTGCTTTGCTTTACTGAACTTGTATAAAACTTGTATCACCACTGCTAAAATCGCACTTTTAAAATAAGGCCTCATATATCCAAATGTTTCAAGATTATGAATCCTGTTTCTTCAAAGGAAAAAGTTGAGTTGAATTAAAAAAAATTTGTATTAGTTGTTTTAGCTTATTTTATTGCTTGTTTTGTCTTATTTTAACCCTCTTGTTGTGTTCCAGTCATTTTTACCCAATTTCTTTTTCTTTTTCATTTTTTCTCCCAAAAATGCTAGTTACTGTTATCGCATTGGACTAAAACTTACTGATTTTGCTTACAAAGGATATAACAACTTCCCAAAATTTTTTTTAATTTTTGTACTTTTTTGGCTTAAAGATTCATTATCAAACCAGTCTGAATCAATATGATTTTTAAAGGGTTAGTTTACCCAAAAATGAAAATTAGGCTGCGTTTTACTCACCCCCGAGAGCAATATTATGTCTAAAATGTAAGTCACTTATTGCTTTGCTTTACTGAACTTGTATAAAACTTGTATCACCACTGCTAAAATCGCACTTTTAAAATAAGGCCTCATATATCCAAATGTTTCAAGATTATGAATCCTGTTTCTTCAAAGGAAAAAGTTGAGTTGAATTAATAAAAAATTGTATTAGTTGTTTTAGCTTATGTCTTATTTTAACCCTCTTGTTGTGTTCCAGTCATTTTTACCCAATTTCTTTTTCTTTTTCATTTTTTCTCCCAAAAATGCTAGTTACTGTTATCGCATTGGACTAAAACTTACTGATTTTGCTCACAAAGGATATAACAACTTCCCAAAATTTTTTTAAATTTTTGTACTTTTTTGGCTTAAAGATTCATTATCAAACCAGTCTGAATCAATATGATTTTTAAAGGGTTAGTTTACCCAAAAATGAGAATTAGGCTGCGTTTTACTCACCCCCGAGGCATCCTAGGTGTATATGACTTTCTTCTTTCAGATGAATCCAGTCGGAGTTATATTAAAAATTGTCTTTGATCTTTCAAGCTGTTTAATGCCACTCAGCGGGTGTTGCATTGCTTCAGTCCAAAAGAACTTAATAAAAATCGCCCATCCATAAAAACAAGTGTCTCTCACGGCTCCGGGGGGTGAACAAGGGCCTTCTGTAGCGAATCGATGCATTTTTGTAAGAAAAATATCCATATTCAAAACGTAATAATCACTTTAATGTAGCTAAGGTAACCTGGATGTTAGATATTGTAAGTAGTAATTTGCAGTGAATTCATTCTGTTAAATGTCTTTCAATGCAGTTTGTCTTGTTGATTGTGTCTTAAATGGAACTGAACACCACAGTCACAAGACAAAAATAGTTAAAATAATGTTTATTCCTCACTGGGAGCTGTTACATTGCTCGGTCCAGCATATTTAGAGAACAAGAAGGCTCTGGAGTTTGTGAGTAGCCAAAGTGCTGCGTATCGTTATATGAATGTTCTTGGCAGATTTTTTTTATTACCAAAACAAATTACAACAGAGTGCATTCATAGTGGAAAACTAGCATACTGCGCAGTATATTTCCTAGTATTTGTTTAAGTTGAACAGTATAAACTGATGAACAAAGGTTTTTTTTTTTATTATTATTATTTTTAACTCTTGTTAGTGAAAAGGACCAAAAGATGCAGCTGATAATACTTTAGGTTCATTTGTGACACCGGAAATGAAAAGTCAAGTTCCTTTGTGGAATATTTAGTATGCAAAGCATATTTAGTATGCATTGTTGTATGTGAAAGCATGAAGAAATATGAAAGTTGTTTTATGAGTAGTTGTGGAAAATGTGGGCATGGTTCAGTGATCTCATCATTGACTTAGAGTCATGTGTTAGGCTAACGTTCGCCAGCAATGATGTCATTTCTGGAAAATCGTTATTTTTGGTCTGTTTTGGAGTCATTAGGAGATGAAATTCACCATTTCCATGTGTTGCAAGTTTGCAACATGGAGCTTCTACAAGTCTGTGTCCTATAAAGACAAGCAAGAACATGTGGATTTGTTTTAGAGATGTTTTCCCCTGAAAAACTGATTTATTCCCACAAGCAAGATGACTTTCACCGAATTATTCATAAACTCATAATGTTCTAGGAATTAAATATATTTTTGATTTTTCCATTTAGCGCCTGTGCAATCAATTTAAAATGGAAATGCATAATGCACATAAGAATATGTAGAGGTGATATTTGTTATACTTGATATACTTAAAATATTTATTTTATCATAACAAAATCATCTTTTTCTTTTCTCTGAAGACATTTACCCCTACCCATGTCTTATTGATCTCTCAGGTAAACCATGAAATTCATGTGAGGACTTTAAATGTGGTTTTAATAACAAGCTGTTGCCAGAAACTCACAGGAATGTGTGTGAGAGTGTTTTGTAGGGCTTTTCTTGCTGTGAACTTTGTTGGTTATTTAACAGCCTAAGTACAGGCATGTTTATGTCCCAGGGGTTTTATTAAAACTAACATATGTAAATGTGTTTGTTCTTTGTTTAAATTATCATATTAAAACTTGGAAACTGCTTAGCATTCATTCTTACATTTTTAATACTTCTCAAAAACCTTTTATGTACAGAACTTAGAATATTTATTATACAGTTATATATCACATACAAACATATTTATCATATATATATATATATACACAGTGGTGTGAAAAAGTGTTGGCCCCCTTCCTGATTTCTTATTTTTTGCATGTTTGTCACACTTTAATGTTTCAGATCATCAAACAAGTGTGTTTGAATAACTAACACTTGGTTCTTACAGTGGTTTTTATTTTAAAGTATGTTTGAAGTGTGTGTAATGACTGTTTATAGGTGCAGAAGACGATGAGTGGGACGAGGAGTGGGATGACGTCAAGTCATCGGGTGGCTATGCTGAATCTGAGGCTGGAGAGGGCGGGGCTATAAACAGAGGCGGAGCTCATGGTTCATCTATGAAAATTGCCCTCAACAAGTAAGTCGGATCACACCACACAGATTGGACATACACCCAAGAGTCACGTAATAATAATACACATAATAAAGATGTAATCCAGTTCATGTGCTTTTTCATGTGTTCTTTCTGGATTCCAATAATGTTTATTAATTTGATCATTTTATTTTTTTATCATCTTATTTTTTTATGTCTGTTGTAAGCAGCATCTTCTCTTTGCAGATTCCCTGGTTTCTCTAAATCAGGTCCTGAGCTGTACCTGCTGTCCAAACAGCCCGCCAAAGGAACCAAGCTGCCTATTTACGTAAGCCACTCTTAAAAAAAAAAAAAAACAAGTCTGAAATTCATAGTGATGGCATTAAATGTTGCATGCACTGCAAAAAATCTTAAAAAACAAAGACTTCTTATATAATTTTGCTTCTCAATGTACCTGTTGTATTGAGCCTCTGCCACATACTAGAATGGGACTCATGGCTCCATAAAGGGTTTTAATTACTATATCATTTTTATATGATGTGTATATATACTGTATTTCAGAGTGGAGAAGTTGGCCCAGTGTGGGCGTATCCAGACTATCAGCTGGACTGTGTTGTCGCTGACCCTAAAAAGGGCTCCAAATTGTATGGCCTTAAGAGTTACATTGAGTACCAAGTCACACCCACCGTAAGTACAGAACCATCATGTTTGCATGAGCATCTCCATGTTAGTCATTCCAGCTGATGTTGTTTCATGTCATCTAATGTTTTTGCAGACCACAAACAAGCCTGTCAATCACAGATACAAGCACTTCGATTGGTTATATGAAAGGCTTTTGGAAAAATATGGATCTGCGATTCCAATCCCCTGTCTGCCTGATAAGCAAGTGGCAGGTAAGCACTTTTTATTACATTCTGTTCGCTGTAAAGAAGTTTAAAATGGAAATAGTATGAGATTGATGAATACCCCCCTTTTTAGGTCGATTTGAGGATGAATTTATAAAAATGCGCATGGAAAGGCTTCAGGGTTGGATGACGCGAATGTGCCGGCATCCGGTTATCTCCAGCAGTGAAGTCTTCCAGCTGTTTCTCTCATACAAAGATGAGAAGGTAAAGAGTGTTTTTAGTACTAAATAAATATGTAGTTGTTGATTAATCAGTTTTTCTTTGGTCCCTTTGTATCTTCCACGTAAATATGCAGCAAAATACTGTAGGTTTTTAGACATAGCCTTTGTTTTTATTATTATTATAAATCTGTATTACAGGACTGGAAAATGGGAAAGAGAAAAGCAGAAAAAGACGAGACGGTTGGAGTCATGGTTTTCTCCACGATCGAGCCTGAGGGACTGCCAGACCTGGACCTGATTGAAGTGTAAGTCCTACAGCCCACCTCAGGATCACTTCCCTGATTTAAAATCTACTCCAGGTTGGTTATTAGCTGGATTTATTGTAAGTTTGACCAACTCAAGTTAATATGATCAGCCAGAATATGTTTTGTAGCTGGTCAAAGATGGTCTGCCAGCGAATAACATGCATCCTCTTGTTGATGGAAGTTCATCTGTGTTGTCTTGTTACTTTCAGAGAGCAGAAGTGTGAACAGTTCAACCGTTTCACCAGGGCAATGGACGATGGTGTGAAAGACTTGCTGACAATAGGAAATGAACACTGGAAACGCTGCACAGGCCGTGAGTATCTCTCGTTATGATATGTATATATACAGAGGGTATAGAAAAGAATCACCCCCCCTTTAAAATAATCACATTTTGTTGCTTTGCAGCCTGAAATGAAGACTGACACAGTTTTTGTTTTATCCAGCTATATTTACTCACCCATATAACACCCATGTGAAAGATATGACACTAAAATGTCAGAAACATTTTTAAAAAACAGAATCACTGAGTTGTAAAAAGGATCACCCCCTTGTGTCAGTATTTTGTTGAACCACCTTTTGCTTTAATTACAGCCTTTAGTCTGTTGGGATATGTCTCTGTCTCTACTAAATTTGCACGTCTAGACTTTGCAATATTTGCCCACTCTTCTTTGCAGAGCTGCTCAAGTTCAGTTCAATTTGATGGTGAGCATTTGTGGACTGCAGTCTTCAAGTCATTGCACAGATTTTCAGTGGAGTTTAAGTCTGGGCTCGGACTAGACCATGCAAGGACATTCACCTTTTTCTCCTTCAAACGCTGTGTGCTCAGTTTTGCTGTGTGCTTTGGATCATTGTCATGTTGGAGATAAACCTTCTTCCGATTGACAACTTTCTGGCAGAGGGCAGCAGATTTTGCCCCATTAATTTTTCCTTTTATCCTGACAAGTGCTCCAGTCCCTGCTGCAGAGAAACAGCCCCATAACAGGATATTACCGCCTCCATGCTTTACTGGAGGAGTGCTGTTATTTGGATGGTGAGCTGTATTGGATTTCTGCCAGACATATCGTTTGGTGTTGAGGCCAAATAATTCAATTTTAGCCTCATGTGGCCTCAGAATCTTTAAGGTGCATTTTGGCTCAGTTGTGACTGCATGTGGCCTTTCTTGAAGAGTGGCTTTTTTCTTGCAACCCTTCCATACAAGCCACATTTGTGGAGAATTTGTGATATTGTTGTCACACGCACACAATGAACACTCTTTGTCATAAATTCCTGCAGCTGTTTCAGAGTTGCTGTAGGTCTCTTGGTTGCCTCTCTGATCAGTTTCCTCCTGCTCTTTCGTCCAGTTTTGAGCGACGTCCAGATCCAGAGAGGGTCTGTGTTGTACCAAATACCTTCCACTTCTTAATAATAGACTTCACTGTGCTTCTAGGCATTGATAAAGCCTTTGAAATGTTTTTGTATCCATCTCCTGACTTGTGCCTGTCCACAACTTTATCCCGGAGATCTTTTGACAGTGCCTTTCCACCCATAGTTGATTGTTTGCTTCAGCTGCACTACCAAGGAATGAAATGCTACAGGAAAGCTCTTTTTTTTATGCTAAACTGATCAAAATGAGCACAGCCGATCACGGTTGAAAGTGAGGTGATTAGCTACACCTGATTGAGTTTACAAGTCATTTTTAGGAGGGGGGTGATGCTTTTTTCCAACTCGGTGATTCTGTTTTGTTTTTTTTCCTGACATGTTGGTGTTATATCTTTCACTTGGATGTTATAAGTTGCGCTGAGTAAATACAGCTGGATAAAACAAAAACTAATATATATATTGTGTGTGTATAGACTCTTAGTTCTTTTTTAACTTTCTATTCATCAAAGATTCATAAAAATGAAATAAGCAGCACAACCGTTTTCAACATTGATAATGATAAAAAAAAATGTTTCTTGATTAGTAAATCGGAATATTAGAATGATTTCTGAAGGATCATGTGACACTGAAGACTTGAGTAGTGATGCTAAATTTTTAGCTTTGCATCACAGGAATAAATTACATTTTCAAATATATTATGAGCAAAATTTGCCTGTTCCTGAGATTTTGTACCTCAGAAACAGGGGCTCATGTCTCACTGTCCAAGCAAAATTCAGCGGGAGTGCATTGATATTTTCTTTAAAAAAAAATCATCACAAATGAAATGTCATACTTGCTTTACTGGAGGAGTGCTGTTATTTGGATGGTGAGCTGTATTGGATTTCTGCCAGACATATCGTTTGGTGTTGAGGCCAAATAATTCAATTTTAGCCTCATGTGGCCTCAGAATCTTTAAGGTGCATTTTGGCTCAGTTGTGACTGCATGTGGCCTTTCTTGAAGAGTGGCTTTTTTCTTGCAACCCTTCCATACAAGCCACATTTGTGGAGAATTTGTGATATTGTTGTCACACGCACACAATGAACACTCTTTGTCATAAATTCCTGCAGCTGTTTCAGAGTTGCTGTAGGTCTCTTGGTTGCCTCTCTGATCAGTTTCCTCCTGCTCTTTCGTCCAGTTTTGAGCGACGTCCAGATCCAGAGAGGGTCTGTGTTGTACCAAATACCTTCCACTTCTTAATAATAGACTTCACTGTGCTTCTAGGCATTGATAAAGCCTTTGAAATGTTTTTGTATCCATCTCCTGACTTGTGCCTGTCCACAACTTTATCCCGGAGATCTTTTGACAGTGCCTTTCCACCCATAGTTGATTGTTTGCTTCAGCTGCACTACCAAGGAATGAAATGCTACAGGAAAGCTCTTTTTTTTTATGCTAAACTGATCAAAATGAGCACAGCCGATCACGGTTGAAAGTGAGGTGATTAGCTACACCTGATTGAGTTTACAAGTCATTTTTAGGAGGGGGGTGATGCTTTTTTCCAACTCGGTGATTCTGTTTTGTTTTTTTTCCTGACATGTTGGTGTTATATCTTTCACTTGGATGTTATAAGTTGCGCTGAGTAAATACAGCTGGATAAAACAAAAACTAATATATATATTGTGTGTGTATAGACTCTTAGTTCTTTTTTAACTTTCTATTCATCAAAGATTCATAAAAATGAAATAAGCAGCACAACCGTTTTCAACATTGATAATGATAAAAAAAAATGTTTCTTGATTAGTAAATCGGAATATTAGAATGATTTCTGAAGGATCATGTGACACTGAAGACTTGAGTAGTGATGCTAAATTTTTAGCTTTGCATCACAGGAATAAATTACATTTTCAAATATATTATGAGCAAAATTTGCCTGTTCCTGAGATTTTGTACCTCAGAAACAGGGGCTCATGTCTCACTGTCCAAGCAAAATTCAGCGGGAGTGCATTGATATTTTCTTTAAAAAAAAATCATCACAAATGAAATGTCATACTTCAAGTTTTAAGAGTCTCAAGTTGATTAGTCTTATTTCCTGTTTGTTTTTCTCAGCTCTTCCAAAGGAATATCAGCGGATTGGCAAAGCTTTCCAAAACCTGTCCTCAGTGTTCACCAGCAGTGGATATGAAGGTATCAGAAACTATTTGATTCCTCTTACTAAAGAACATTTAATGAGGTAAAAATACTTAGTTCTCTTTTTACCATCTGGTCTAGTTCTGAGAAACTTAATTGAGCATTTTCTTGTTCCTTTTTCACTCACCTCTCTTGAGCTTTAACCAGCAGTCTTTATGTTCGATGTTCAACCAGTAGTCTGTTTTTTGTCCTGAATGTGTGGTTTTGTTTGACTTAAAGGAGAGGCTGCGCTCACAGACGCACTGACGGCAGCAGGAAAGACCTACGAGGAGATTGCTCAGATGGTGGCGGAGCAGGTAGTAAAAAAACCTGAGATAAAACACTTACTCTAGAACATCTCAGTTCTCTCTTATATTAGGAAGTTACGTCTCTTGCAGCCTCTTATGTTTTAGGAGAAGTGTAACTATTTGGGCATCAAAACATCCTTATATATTACCGTCTTTTAAATTACACTACCATTCAAAACTTGAGGGTCAGCAAGATTTTTTTTCAGTGTTTTTGAAACATTGCTCTTATGCTTGCTTTTATGCTCATAAAGGCTGCATTTATTTTTTCAAAAATACAGTAGAAACGGTTATGTTGAGAAATAATATTACATAATTTAACATGTTTTTTTTATTTTAAAATGTAATTTACTCCGTGTCACATGATCCTTCTGCTCAAGAAACATTTCTTATTATCAATGTTAAAAAAAAATTAATTTAATTTAGTATATTTGTGGAAACGGTGATATATTTTTTCCAGGATCCTCTGATGAATATAAAGTTCAAAAGAACATAATTTACTTCAAATAGAAATCTTAGCAATGTCTTTACTGTCACTGATCAAAAGTATGTATTTCAGAAAAATCTTACTGATCCCAAACGTTTGAATAGCAATGCATGTAAGGTCATTATCACAAAATAATCAGGATCAGGACCCTGAAAGCAGCTGTGTAGGTCGGAGGAAGCCGTAGTTATGTGATCCACATTCATATAGCCTTGTGTTATTTATCTTCAACCTTACTACTGAAACATTTAATGAATGAAAACCTGGTTGTTGTTTGGCCTCCAAACTTGTTGTCACACGCACACAATGAACACTCTTTGTCATAAATTCCTGCAGCTGTTTCAGAGTTGCTGTAGGTCTCTTGGTTGCCTCTCTGATCAGTTTCCTCCTGCTCTTTCGTCCAGTTTTGAGCGACGTCCAGATCCAGAGAGGGTCTGTGTTGTACCAAATACCTTCCACTTCTTAATAATAGACTTCACTGTGCTTCTAGGCATTGATAAAGCCTTTGAAATGTTTTTGTATCCATCTCCTGACTTGTGCCTGTCCACAACTTTATCCCGGAGATCTTTTGACAGTGCCTTTCCACCCATAGTTGATTGTTTGCTTCAGCTGCACTACCAAGGAATGAAATGCTACAGGAAAGCTCTTTTTTTTATGCTAAACTGATCAAAATGAGCACAGCCGATCACGGTTGAAAGTGAGGTGATTAGCTACACCTGATTGAGTTTACAAGTCATTTTTAGGAGGGGGGTGATGCTTTTTTCCAACTCGGTGATTCTGTTTTGTTTTTTTTCCTGACATGTTGGTGTTATATCTTTCACTTGGATGTTATAAGTTGCGCTGAGTAAATACAGCTGGATAAAACAAAAACTAATATATATATTGTGTGTGTATAGACTCTTAGTTCTTTTTTAACTTTCTATTCATCAAAGATTCATAAAAATGAAATAAGCAGCACAACCGTTTTCAACATTGATAATGATAAAAAAAAATGTTTCTTGATTAGTAAATCGGAATATTAGAATGATTTCTGAAGGATCATGTGACACTGAAGACTCGAGTAGTGATGCTAAATTTTTAGCTTTGCATCACAGGAATAAATTACATTTTCAAATATATTATGAGCAAAATTTGCCTGTTCCTGAGATTTTGTACCTCAGAAACAGGGGCTCATGTCTCACTGTCCAAGCAAAATTCAGCGGGAGTGCATTGATATTTTCTTTAAAAAAAAATCATCACAAATGAAATGTCATACTTCAAGTTTTAAGATGCTAAATTTTTAGCTTTGCATCACAGGAATAAATTACATTTTCAAATATATTATGAGCAAAATTTGCCTGTTCCTGAGATTTTGTACCTCAGAAACAGGGGCTCATGTCTCACTGTCCAAGCAAAATTCAGCGGGAGTGCATTGATATTTTTTTAAAAAAAAAATCATCACAAATGAAATGTCATACTTCAAGTTTTAAGAGTCTCAAGTTGATTAGTCTTATTTCCTGTTTGTTTTTCTCAGCTCTTCCAAAGGAATATCAGCGGATTGGCAAAGCTTTCCAAAACCTGTCCTCAGTGTTCACCAGCAGTGGATATGAAGGTATCAGAAACTATTTGATTCCTCTTACTAAAGAACATTTAATGAGGTAAAAATACTTAGTTCTCTTTTTACCATCTGGTCTAGTTCTGAGAAACTTAATTGAGCATTTTCTTGTTCCTTTTTCACTCACCTCTCTTGAGCTTTAACCAGCAGTCTTTATGTTCGATGTTCAACCAGTAGTCTGTTTTTTTTTCCTGAATGTGTGGTTTTGTTTGACTTAAAGGAGAGGCTGCGCTCACAGACGCACTGACGGCAGCAGGAAAGACCTACGAGGAGATTGCTCAGATGGTGGCGGAGCAGGTAGTAAAAAAACCTGAGATAAAACACTTACTCTAGAACATCTCAGTTCTCTCTTATATTAGGAAGTTACGTCTCTTGCAGCCTCTTATGTTTTAGGAGAAGTGTAACTATTTGGGCATCAAAACATCCTTATATATTACCGTCTTTTAAATTACACTACCATTCAAAACTTGAGGGTCAGCAAGATTTTTTTTCAGTGTTTTTGAAACATTGCTCTTATGCTTGCTTTTATGCTCATAAAGGCTGCATTTATTTTTTCAAAAATACAGTAGAAACGGTTATGTTGAGAAATAATATTACATAATTTAACATGTTTTTTTTATTTTAAAATGTAATTTACTCCGTGTCACATGATCCTTCTGCTCAAGAAACATTTCTTATTATCAATGTTAAAAAAAAATTAATTTAATTTAGTATATTTGTGGAAACGGTGATATATTTTTTCCAGGATCCTCTGATGAATATAAAGTTCAAAAGAACATAATTTACTTCAAATAGAAATCTTAGCAATGTCTTTACTGTCACTGATCAAAAGTATGTATTTCAGAAAAATCTTACTGATCCCAAACTTTTGAATAGCAATGCATGTAAGGTCATTATCGCAAAATAATCAGGATCAGGACCCTGAAAGCAGCTGTGTAGGTCGGAGGAAGCCGTAGTTATGTGATCCACATTCATATAGCCTTGTGTTATTTATCTTCAACCTTACTACTGAAACATTTAATGAATGAAAACCTGGTTGTTGTTTGGCCTCCAAACTGATTGTTGAAGGTGTTTGTCTCCAGTGTAGCCTTGAAAACTTTTAGAGCTCCGTTAACCCTTCATGAGATCTAGCAGTGAAATTGAATGTCTTCAAATATATTAAGATTAAAAATGCAAAAGATAGATACTCCCTGTAGTGAATTAGTGTTTACACTACGAAGGTGATGTCATATGCGTTTCTGACTACCTCTGAACCTTTTTTTTTGCACCATTAAACGCTGACTGCATATGATTGGATCCCACAAGAGAGTGTAAAGTCAAACTGAAGTTACAGACCAATATTTTTGTCGTTTTACATAAATTTCATTTAATTACATTTAATTCAAATTTTATAATTAGAATAGTTATGGCCACTCTGTTGGTGTTGTCCAATCAGGTTAGAGGACTGGAACTGAATTGCCTGTTGTTTAATGATTAATTGAATCTAGTTGTAAGGGAATTAATTGTTTTAGTTTGCTATTTTCTCCAGTTGTTAATGGCTGTTTTAGCCCAGTTGAATTCTGATTCTTGTCTGCGAGTGGGAGCGTTTCCGTGCGTACGCATGCATATGTGTGCAAGTCTTGTAAACTTTTTGTGAGCGGTTGAATGAAGTGACCATGGGTGTGTTTGTGCACCGTCTGATTTAATCATTAAAGGAACACTCCACTATTTTTGAAAATAGGCTCATTTTCCAACTCCCCTAGAGTTCAACCGTTTTCGAATCCATTCAGCCGATCTCCGGGTCTGGCGGTAGCACTTTTAGCTTAGCTTAGCATAGATCATTGAATCTGATTAGACCGTTAGCATCTCGCTCAAAAATGACCAAAGAGTTTCTATATTTTTCCTATTTAAAACTTGACTCTTCTGTAGTTACATCGTGTACTAAGACCGACGGAAAATGAAAACTTGCGATTTTCTAGGCCGATATGGCTAGGAACTATACTCTCATTCCGGCGTAATAATCAAGGAACTTTGCTGCTGTACCATGGGTGCAGCAGGCACAATGATATTACGCAGCGCCTGAAAATAGGCCAACTTCCGTCAACATAACCAATGTGACCACCTGCTTGCACAGGGAGTGTGCTGTGGACTATTTTCAGGCGCTGCGTAATATCATTGCTGCCGTACCATGGGTGCAGCAGGCGCAAAGTTCCTTGATTATTACGCCGGAATGAGAGTATAGTTCCTAGCCGTATAGGCCTAGAAAATCGCAACTTTTCATTTTCCGTCGGTCTTGGTATACTATGTAACTACAGAAGAGTCAAGTTTTAAATAGGAAAAATATAGAAACTCTTTGGTCATTTTTGAGCGAGATGCTAACGGTCTAATCAGATTCAATAATCTATGCTAAGCTACAGCTAAAAGTGCTACCGCCAGACCCGGAGATCGACTGAATGGATTCGAAAACGGTAAAACTCAACTGTTTAACTCTAGGGGAGTTGGAAAATGAGCCTATTTTCAAAAATAGTGGCGTGTTCCTTTAAGTTTTGTCTGTCTTTCTCTCTCTAGCCCAAGAAAGACCTTCACTTCCTCATGGAAACTAACAACGAGTACAAAGGTCTGCTGGGATGCTTTCCTGATACTGTTGGAGTTCACAAGGTAAACGAGAAAGTACTTCTACTCACCATGTCAGCGTGCAGACTAGCATCCTTATAGACTCAAACTCCGTTTTAAAACTTAGTGAGCGTCCTAACCGTCATAGAACCTCATAAGTGATCTTTTAGGCAGCTCACTAGGTGTTTGAACAGAGCTGTAGATTATATACAAAGATATGAAAATTGGAGAATTGACTTGGCTGACTGCATTTTGAGCCCTCTTTCTCTCACACAGGCTGCCATAGAGAAGGTAAAGGAAGCCGATAAACTAGTGGCTGCTGGTAAAATCACCCCCTCAGATAAGACCACCATGTCTAAACGTGCCAGCACCATGTCATACTCTCTGCAAGGTATTGCCATCTACTTACAGTGGCCACAAAACAACCTGTAAAAGTATTACATTTCAGAATAAGTCATAATTACACTAAGTCTTACATGATGTTAGCACAACATTAGAATGCTGGAAACATAACTATAATTTTCAAAAGACCCAGTAGACACAAACAGAGTTAAGTACAGGGTTCCCACGGGGCTGGAAAAGCTGAAAATATCAGTGATTTCCAGAATCGCAAAAGCCATGAAAATTTCGTTAGTCAATATACATTTTTCTATCTGTGCAAAGTATTTTATATTTTTTACTTGAAATCTGTAAAGAGGAAAAAATCACAATATTAAAATGTTCTTTTCTTGTACTACTGTTACTGTATCGTTGTTTTATTTTATTGTATTTTATTATACTGCACAACATGACTTTGTAAAATAAGAGGATTTATCATAGTGCATAATAATGTTTTATTACTATATATATATATATATACATGTGTGTTTCATGTTTTTCAAAGTCTCATGTTCACCAAGGCTTCATGTTGTTAAAAATACAGTAAAAACAGTAGCGCTGCGAAATAATATTACAATTAAAAATACAATAATAGATAATTAATATATTTTATTACTACTTTCTGTGATGCAAAGCTGAATTTTCAGCATCACTACTCCAGTCTTCAGTGTCACATGATCCTTCAGAAATCATTCTAATATGTTGATTTGTTGTTTTATCAATGTTGAAATCAGTTTTGCTGCTTAATATTTTGTGGAAACCATTATAAATACTTTTTCAGGATTCTTTAATGAATCGAAAGTTCACAACAGCAGAACATCAAAACATTTGTTAGAAATCTTTTGTAACATAAAAAGTGACAACAGACATTTATAGTCAATTGAATGCATCCTTGCTGAATGAAAGTATTAATTCCTATCAAAAAATATTACATTGTTTATTTTTTTATCATATTTTTATTTCGTTTTCTATTCTTCTTCTATTCTTCTTTTTTAGTTATGTTGTAATTTGTGTCAATCTATTGAGATACATTTTATTTTTCTGCTTTATAATAATTTAATTGAAAGAAGAAAAATCCTGTAAATTCAAAACATTGAAGTGATGATTGACACATCTTGTCCTCTATGCAGCGGAAATGAACCACTTCCATAGCAACCGTATCTATGACTACAACAGGGTGATGCAGCAGTACCTGGAGCAGCAAGTCAAATTCTATGAGATGGTAAAGTGTCTAAACAATAGTAAAAGTTAAAAAGCGTGCCATAATGTTTGGAGATGTTAAACCGTTGACTTGTTTTTTATGTTTTGGCAGATTGCAGAGAAACTACGACACGCTCACAGTCAGTTCACTACTATGTAACGGCAGAGCGGCCGTCCAGAAGTTGCCTCTCTTTCTCTGTTCCTCTGACATGATGATTCTCCTTCTGTTTTTCTATGCATGCTATCTGTGTCGTGATGTCAGTGCCATAAAAATATCCTGTCCATCTCCGGCCAAAGATAGCGTCGATCCGTGTCCTGCATGAGAACTGGCCAAGCTCGAGTGTTTTTAAAAAGCAGCTACAGATTGACTAAAATATCAGATTATATGGGGGCTTTAATTATTATAATTATGTAGTTGTTGGTTTGATGGATGTTCCAAGTTCTGTTATGACCTTGTTAGTTTTGATTAATGATAAATATGAAAGATGCAGAGCGAGACGTAACATTACGTGCTTTTATACAAGTGATCTAAACAGATTCTGGTGCATATATGAGGCCAAGTTTGATTGTGCCTCGTTTTGTAGAGACCCTGCAACAAAAAAAAAAATGCTTTTTTTCCACTGCACTTTACTGTGGCCTTTCAGATGCATTATCCTGTTTGTGTTTGGTCACAAAAACAACCCCAATCATTTTCATTGAAGTTTCTAGAGATGATAACAGGAGGGCTGGTCCTTTTTCCCCATAAGAGACATTATTTTTCTCTCTCCCCAAAGCCAAATTACAAACAGAGATTATGCTCGGCTTGATGCTTCCACCTCAGTGCAATTATCACCAATCTCCTATCCTGTAAAAATGAAATTATACTTCACCTGATGCATGTTGTTCATATATTTGTTTATGTATAGCAGTGGTTGCAAGTCTTTTGCACACATAATGACAAAACTATTGAGATTGATTTAATAAAACTGATTTGTATGCTATGCAGTGTTTTTTTTTTCTTCTCTGTACGAGTGTCTGAAAATGAATGTGGTGTGAATAACAGGAAACCCTGAGATGGAGGATGTGTCTCAAACTCTAGCAAGCTGCTTATGTAGATGGTGACTGCTTAGAGGCATTTTATTTAAGAAAGCTGTTTTGTTACCAGCGAGTCGGCTCTCAAGGTTTGGAAACGGAGCCCCGTGAGTCAGCTGTGTTTATGGAGAATATGAATGAGGCTGTCTCAAAAGATGTTGTTTTATGTCTGAATGTGCTTCACACACTAAGACCAATGTTTTGTGTGATTTTGCGCTTCGAATGGAATGCATCTCAAAGGTAAATGTATAATGACATACAGAAATAAGTATATTTAAAATGAGCAGTTTAACAAAGGTTGTAGCATTTCCTTTATTTCAATCACTTTTGGCATTTCATAAACTATATCATTTTTTGCTTTCAGTACAGTACTCCACATCAAGAACCTGCAATATTACACGCATATTTCACAAATGAACTTTTTTTTGTGCAACACAGTTTTTAGCTTTTTTGTGAGCCCTTTTACGTATTTTTACTACCATAGTTAACCACTTATTTGAACTTTCGTGAAAAACTAGAAATCACTAAACTCGAGTCTTTTTTTCTCTCAAAGTAGTTGTGATGTCAGCGATTCTACATAATTATGAAATATTTCAAAAATATATATACACTTTTTTTTAGAAAATGATATACTACCATTGAAAAGTTTGGGGTCAGTAAGATATTTTTAAAGAAATTATATTTAGTATGTAGTATTTTGATCAAATAAATGCAGCCATTGCGAGAGTTCTTTCAAAAACATGAACATATCTTAACCCCAAAATTTTGAACAATTGTGTATATTTGATTAAATGCAATAAGGAATCACTAATGTACTCATGCAATGATCCTCTTGATCAGGAAAATAGTGGTGTTTGTTGCTATTTAGGGTTTTGGGGGGGCTACAGAAACTAAATCTACTTTTAATACACATTTATAAAATAAGTTTTCATCTTAAAACCATGGGTACAGAAAATATAGGCATGTAACACACATTAGACTCGCTGAATGGCAAACACTGGCTGTCTCAAGAGCTGTCCTTCTCTAGTCTTTGGTATAAACCTTAAATGGTTTCACTGTCTGGACAAGACATTCAGCCCATACACAGATTTTCCTCTGTTTCACTATGGAAGGATCCATCCATCCTGCTTCGCAGTGGCTCTGAGAACTGTGATTGGCTGGTTGACGTATGGACCCGAGCTCATTGGTCGAGCCTGATTCAGGGTGACAGATGCTGTCTGAAGATTCTGGGTCGGATCATCATGCTGACCTTCCTCAGAGAGTAATAATCCGAATCTTTCCATGTGTACCACACGATACCGTCCGGACCAAGTGGGTTCTTCCCCTTCAGCGAGTAGCGGCCGCCCTGTCCATCAGGATAACAGAATCCGTTAGACATCAGCAGAGATGCTTAGCTTCTGATTTGAGTACATCTTTACACTTTTTAGGTCTATGCTTTTATGCATACAGACTTGAACACACCTTTTATGATCAGTATGTTTTTCTAAATTAAAATTAATTTTGGTATTTTTGTGTGACTAGTTGATGTAACGGTCCTGAACTTGAAAGACAACAGATTTGCCATATGCCATAATTGTATTTATTTATACATTTTCACAAAAAAGTCAGTGTAATAAAACCAGTTTGCTAAAACCATTTAAAACTAAGTACCAAGACAACTAAAAATTCCAAACATTAATGAAAACTATAATAGTATATCAGTGATACATTGATTAAAAACTACATTAAATAAAAAATAAAATAAATGAACATGCTAAAATATTACACACTTACAGGTTAAATGACAATTTAGGGTTCTTCCCCTTCAGCGAGTAGCGGCCGCCCTGTCCATCAGGATAACAGAATCCGTTAGACATCAGCAGAGATGCTTAGCTTCTGATTTGAGTACATCTTTACACTTTTTAGGTCTATGCTTTTATGCATACAGACTTGAACACACCTTTTATGATCAGTATGTTTTTCTAAATTAAAATTCATTTTGGTATTTTTGTGTGACTAGTTGATGTAACGGTCCTGAACTTGAAAGACAACAGATTTGCCATATGCCATAATTGTATTTATTTATACAATTTCACAAAAAAGTCAGTGTAATAAAACCAGTTTGCTAAAACCATTTAAAACTAAGTACCAAGACAACTAAAAATTCCAAACATTAATGAAAACTATAATAGTATATCAGTGATACATTGATTAAAAACTACATTAAATCAAAAATAAAATAAATGAACATGCTAAAATATTACACACTTACAGGTTAAATGACAATTTATGAAAGCTTTTAATTAAATGTATATTTTTCAATTACTCTTCATTTAGCAATTTTATTTTATTTACTTACAAAAATGTCAAGTGTAATAAAACTATTTTGTTGTTCAAGTTCAAATTCATTACACAGTAGTAAATTATATCATTTTTTAGACCCTCATAATTTTGTTAGGTTAGCAGGTTTTCATGTTCAGATCATTTGACCCTTTGAACTTTGAAAAATTATTTTGATGGAACAAAGATGTCAAAGAGTCATTTTTCAAGAGTCATAAAGAGTCATTAAAACTTTCATAGGGTCATAAAAAAAGTTATTTAAAAAACAAGGTTTTCAAAGCATAAATACAAGAATTTTCATTTAGGTGCATTTTTTTAGGTACATTTTCAGGACCTAAAATAAATGTTCACTGAAATTAAATCAAATATATAAATAAAAAAACTTGAAATTTTGTTTCACCTTGTTGAGCCAACATTTCTCATTTTAATTTTAGTACTAAATAAACTTAAACTAATAAATTAAAATTAATAAAAACTATGTAAACAATGAAAAATGAAAACAAAAACATAAAAAATAAAGTCTAATTCAAAATATGAATAAAAACTATAATAGTATATCTGAGATACACTGATCAGTGAAAAACTACATTTAAAAAACTTTTTAAGAACATGCTAAACTATTACACACTTGCAGGTTAAATGACAATTTATGAAAGATTTAAATTAAATTGATATTTTTAAATTATTTTTCATTTAGCAATTTTTAAAATGTATTTGTTTGTTTGTTTACTTATTTATTTTCAACTACATAGCCAAACCAGGGGTTCAGTGCCTTACTCAAAGACAACAGTAACAGCTCATGAACACTTCTAGAGCTTAAACCTACAACCTTTGTGTCTATAACAACCAGGCCACATCATACCTTGTAGTAGATGCCGTTGAGGTTTGCATAGAAACACTGGTTGTACCACCACCCAGCGTGTGAGATCTCGGCACAGATGTTGCCCGTGTCAGGTGTGCTGAAGCTCTGCTTGTCATGATACCAGCTGAAGGAGTCCTCCACTGTCCCGCTAAAGCCCGACACATGCAGACGGTACTGAGTGCTCTCGTCCTCCACACTGCAAACATACACACACAAAGTGCTGAATTTCCTCACAAACACAACACTGATAGTTCATCAAGGGTTTGAAGTGTTTTCAATTACAAGGCCAGATGTTTAATCACTATTAAACATTGTGCATCCATATGAAGTCCTTCCAGTCAGTCAGTGATGGATGTGCTTCAATTATAGGCCAATCTCAAATTTACCATTCTTAAGTAAAATTCTTGAAAAAGTTGTGGCTTCACAATTGAGATCTTACTTAAATGCTAATGGCCTTTTTGAACTAGTCAGGATTTCGTTCATCACATAGCACTGAAACTGCTCTTCTTCGTGTGGTTAATGACATTCTTCTGTCCATGGATTCTGGGTTAATAAACATCTTGATTCTTCTCGATCTAAGCTCTGCATTTGACATAGTCTGCCATGAAATACTCATCTTCATATCGGTATCACTGGTTCAGCTTTTTCCTGGCTCATTTCCAACATCAGCGATAGAAAATATTATATCACCATACAAGGGTATAAATCTGCCACTGCTCCAGTTTGACAGGGTGTACCTCAAAGTTCAGTTCTTGGTCCACTTCTGTTTATCATTTATACGTATCCACTTGGTGACATCATATGCATGCATGGACTTCAATTTCATTGCTATGCTGATGACATTCAAATTTACCTAACCACTAGCTCTGATAGGTCATAACTGCCAGACTCACTTACTGCATGTATCAGGGATATCAAGCATTGGATGTCCTTGAATTTCCTTAAACTAAATAATAACAAGACTGAAATATTGATGATTGGCTCTGCTACCTCAGTCAAAAGGATGGACCGGTCCTTTGAAATTTACGAGGTTCATGTTAAGCCTTTTTCATCTGTCCATAATCTTGGTGTCTTATTTGACTCATCTCTATCTTTTGCCTCTCATATTTCTTCTGTTGTTAAAACCTGTTGTGCACATCTTCGATCTTCTCTAACTCTAGCTGATGCTGAAATCTTAATTCATGCATTAATCACATCACGTCTGGATTATTGCAATGCTCTATTTCTTGGTCTGCCTAAAAAACCTATTGCAAGGTTACAGTATGCTCAAAACTCAGCAGCAAGAGTTCTCACCTCCACCAGGCGTTCTGCTCAAATTACTCCTCTACTGCACGAGGCATCACGTATTCACTTTAAGATATTACTTCTAACATTTAAGGCATTAAATGGTCTTGCGCCTCCATATCTGTCTGACTTACTGTACTCCTAACTCTCCTGCCGGTCCCTCAGATCATCTGAGCTTGGTCTCTTGTCCATTCCTCGTTTTCGGCTGTCCACTGTAGGTGGTCATTGAGTGTTAATGCTCCTAAATTATGGAATTCGCTACCGCTTACACGTCGTAATATATCATCTTTGTCTACCTTCAAGACTCAGCTAAAAACGTATCTTTTTAATATGTATTTTGGATAACGTGGCTATATGTGGCCTTATGTGTTTGTATTGTGTATGTGGGTGTGCAAATGTTTTGTATAGCATTAAGAAAAGTGACCTTGAGCTATGGAAAGGCGCTATATAAATAAAACTTCTTCACCTGAAACTCTGATAAACAGCGTGTTTGTGTTTCCCGCTCCAGTCCTCCAGGTCAATACGGAGCATGTAGTCTCCCTGACTGCTCAGGTCATGGATGTGTTCATTTCCCAGCCAGTATTCGGTGTGCAGGTCTCCAAATCCCTCTTTATACTCCTTCCAGCTGCGGTCAAAGTTCACTGAGCCATCTTGCCTACGCTGGATCACAGTCCAGCCACCACCTGAGACATACATTATGCATGGGCTCCAATTATGTTTTTATTAGGAAGGAAATGTTAAAAGAGTATACATTCAAGCATTCAACAATCAAATCTCTTTTTATGAGTTTAATGCACATGCCAAGTCATTTGGTTTTCATCTTATGACCACTGCAATTATACTTATGGTCAGGAAGTGTTTTGTAGGTCATCAAAATGATATTTGCACATGCTATTTTAAGCCTCAGAAGGTTCCTCATGCGCCCCAATGGTGCTATTTCAGCACAAAACTGAAGTCTTACTAGACATAAAAGAGAATAATTTAGATGTTCATTATCAGTTTCTTTTGCTACGGTTTTGAAAGTCTCTAAATTTTCCTATAAACGATATAAAAATAACCCAATGATTCATCCACAGCGGATTTCCAGCAAAACATTTCAATATAGAGGACAGTACGGCTCAGCAAAAGGCATTTTTCTAAAAGGATGTTCAGATGTGTACTTTCCCTAAAACTGTGTTCTCTCATTTTGATCAGTTCTTTTTCGCATTTAAGTTGTTTTATACTGTGCTTCAGAATAAAATCAATTTATGAAATATGCTTAAACTGCCCTTCAACTCCTGTTAAGATAACTTCAAATAGGACTAAGCAGCGGCCTTGAAATGTAGGAAATTGTAGGTTGTTCTCTAATTTTGATCTCCACTGTGTGTGTATGTGTATATATATATACACACATACATACTAACAAAAAAGATAAAAATTAATAAATTAATTTTAGTAACATTTTGTGTAAGTGACAGATTATATAGATAGATTTCATTCATAAATATATATATGTGTGTGTCTGTGTGAGTAAATTAAATGTTTTTTGTGTGTGTATGTGTATATATATACACACATACATACTAACAAAAAAGATAAAAATTAATTAATTAATTTTAGTAACATTTTGTGTAAGTGACAGATTATATAGATAGATTTCATTCATAAATATATATATGTGTGTGTCTGTGTGAGTAAATTAAATGTTTTTTACTTATTATATTTAATTATATATATTTACAAAAAATATTTTATTTTAAGCAACATATTTTGTATAAGTAATATATATAGGCAAGTGTTTGTAAATAAAATGTTCATCAACTGACCCAAAATACCAGGCCCATCCTTATAGTTGAGTCCTGGACAGACATTACTGCATGTGTTGAGTGGTTTCTTACCGTCTGTGTCCATATCACAGTAGACTTCCACTGGCATGGCCCCTAGTGAGGGTACCACACTGTAGATCCCAGAGCGACGCACTCCGTTATAGTAGATGGAGGCACAGTCGATGGGGCAGTTCCTGACATGCTGCACCTCTGGAGTGAAAACACATAAAACTATAATAACATAATTAATATAAAAACATATTGTACAAAGTGTGAGCCATTTCAGTTCTCATTAAACAATATGAGATGAAGAAGAGGTCATACATTTGGCTGTCTCATAAACTGTGCTATGATTTGTCACCCTCTGTCGGTTCAGGCTAGTATCTGACCATAATTCCATACTAGCTAAAGACTTAAAGTGATAGTCCACTCAAAAATGAAAATTCAGTCATCATTTACTCATTCACATACCCATAAGACTTTGGTTAAACTTCGAAACACAAATTAAGGTATTTTAATGAAACCTTGAGCTCTTTAATCCAAGATAGATGTGAATAAAAGCCTAAATTAAATCTGTTTGTCATATAAAGTGATCGTATGTCTTCCTAAAACTTAAATTAAACGCTCGATTCATATGGATTCATTTTCATGACATTTTTATTACCTTTTTGATTTTTTTAAGTTTTGATTATTGGTATCTTAATTTGTGTTTCAAAGATTAACCAAAGTCTTATGGGGTTGGAATGTAATTTTATGAGTAAATGATGAAAGAATCTTACATTTTTGGGTGAACTATGCTTTTAATGCACCACATCTTCAACTAATATAATTTGTCTGATTTGTCTCTTTTGGCTGTGTATACAATATGTTGCGTTTAAAAAATAAATAATAATATTTAAATTAATTATAGTTAATAGTACATACATTAGAAATTTAATTATATATACAAACCCAATTCCAAAAAAGTTGGGACACTGTACAAATTGTGAGTAAAAAAGGAATGGAATAATTTACAAATCTCATAAACTTATATTTTATTCACAATAGAATATAGATAACATATCAAATGTTGAAAGTGAGACATTTTGAAATGTCATGCCAAATATTGGCTCATTTTGGATTTCATGAGAGCTACACATTCCAAAAAAGTTGGGACAGGTAGCAATAAGAGGCCAGAAAAGTTAAATGTACATATAAGGAACAGCTGGAGGACCAATTTGCAACTTATTAGGTCAATTGGCAACATGATTGGGTATAAAAAGAGCCTCTCAGAGTGGCAGTGTCTCTCAGAAGTCAAGATGGATGAATGCTGCGGTGAAAAATAGTGGAGCAATATCAGAAAGGAGTTTCTCAGAGAAAAATAGCAAAGAGTTTGAAGTTATCATCATCATCATCTACAGTGCATAATATCATCAAAAGATTCTGAGAATCTGGAACAATCTCTGTGCGTAAGGGTCAAGGCCGGAAAACCATACTGGATGCCCGTGATCTTCGGGCCCTTAGACGGCACTGCATCACATACAGGAATGCTACTGTAATGGAAATCACAACATGGGCTCAGCAATACTTCCAGAAAACATTGTCGGTGAACAATCCACCGTGCCATTCGCCGTTGCCGGCTAAAACTCTATAGGTCAAAAAAGAAGCCATATCTAAACATGATCCAGAAGCGCAGGCGTTTTCTCTGGCCCAAGGCTCATTTAAAATGGACTGTGGAAAACTGTTCTGTGGTCAGACGAATCAAAATTTGAAGTTCTTTTTGGAAAACTGGGACGCCATGTCATCCGGACTAAAGAGAACAAGGACAACCCAAGTTGTTATCAGCGCTCAGTTCAGAAGCCTGCATCTCTGATGGTATGGGGTTGCATGAGTGCGTGTGGCATGGGCAGCTTACACATCTGGAAAGGCACCATCAATGCTGAAAGGTATATCCAAGTTCTAGAACAACATATGCTCCCATCCAGACGTCGTCTCTTTCAGGGAAGACCTTGCATTTTCCAACATGACAATGCCAGACCACATACTGCATCAATTACAACATCATGGCTGCGTAGAAAGATCCAGGTACTGAAATGGCCAGCCTGCAGTCCAGATCTTTCACCCATAGAAAACATTTGGCGCATCATAAAGAGGAAGATGCGACAAAGAAGACCTAAGACAGTTGAGCAACTAGAAGCCTGTATTAGACAAGAATGGGACAACATTCCTATTCCTAAACTTGAGCAACTTGTCTCCTCAGTCCCCAGACGTTTGCAGACTGTTATAAAAAGAAGAGGGGATGACACACAGTGGTAAACATGGTCTTGTCCCAACTTTTTTGAGATGTGCTGATGCCATGAAATTTAAAATCAACTTATTTTCCATACATTTTCTCAGTTTAAACATTTGATATGTCATCTATGTTGTATTCTGAATAAAATATTGAAATTTGAAACTTCCACATCATTGCATTCTGATTTTA